TGTCAGATAGCTCAAACTTCAATCCCCCCCCCACCTTTTCACACCTTCCTGCTAGTATCGTTAGACTCAAAGCATTTATGCCTCAGTGAAGCTGGGAAACGGTCCCATATAATTTTTTATTATCAAATTCTACGAACGACTGAGAGAGAGGCGATCTGTGGCACCATGGCATCTCAGGAAAAAAGAAGCTGCGAGGGTTGGAATGTTACTGCAGAGGAGTTTCAACAAGTACAGTATATAGTTTCAGCAATATCTTTCTCTGAAGGGGAGAAAAAAAGCATCTCCCCGGCGGGGAATTGAACCCCGGTCTCCCGCGTGACAGGCGGGGATACTCACCACTATACTACCGAGGATTACACGATAAGTTTTAACCTCCTCTCAGTACTCGAGGAGAACCTGATCAACAACTGGTCAATCTGACCAATAAGTCAATAACTGTGGGAAGTTCTTGACACGATTATATGATACTTATACGGTTCTTGGTTGTATTGAATACCTAATGCACTGGATGTGTCAGAATACCCACTCTCGCTTTGCCATGCTGGTCGTTATACACACCGAAAGCTCCTGCCATCTTTAAAGAGAATTTTCAGCTAGTCTCTTAACCCTGGTGGTGGTACACATGCATGTCCTATTTATGGGAAAATAAATGAAATACCAATAAATAAGCGCTTTTTAATGCAAGGCAAAATTTATGATCTACAATCAATATTTCAAAATGTAGACCATTTTGGTAGTGTGGGGGTTAAAATGCATTTTTATTGCTCATGAATAATTGCGATTCCAATAGTTTTATCGGTCAAGATTTGAAAATGTATGCACATCAAATATTAGATTGCACTTAGAGAAAGCATGCTTCATTAACATCACTGTTAACCCTAATCTGCATGAGGTAGGGTCAAAAAGACTCAAGATTCCCTTTTATGATTACTTTTATACCTAAGATTCAGACTTCTGGAATGTCATCAGGTAGCGTATACAATATCCAAACCAGTCTGGCGGACGGAAACTTATTTAATGTCGTTATAAGAGCGTTCTCATGTTTCCTGAAAACTTTTGGGCGCTTATATGAAAGACGGAAGTTGGAAAAAAAAAGTTTGAAAACAAACTATGTCAATTTTTTTTTACAAACTAATTTGCAAGCAATAGACAATTCAATCATTTATCAAAGTGTCTTAATTTATTCTGGATATCATACCTATCCTGCTATTCAACATTAAAGTTTTTCACGAAGAGATTTATTTAACAATTGGGGGCCAAATGACCCCATGTCATGCAATCACGTCATGCATAAATAGTTTTGGCTCATGCAAATGAGGGTGAACCTCAAATCCGCTTAAACTCTTGAATGGTCAAACTGTAAGAATTGAATTTCGCCAACCTCAAGCATTAGGCTTTAGCTGTGCACATCAGCCGTGCACATCACTCCGTGTCGCAAAAAAAAGAGGTCTGCTCAGGAAGATCTTACAATTAACCACTCCTCTTTTGTCCCAGGTCCATTGAATTCCACAGAGGTATGACCTCAAGGTAGAAGCATATATTCTATCTACCTTGGTATGACATCATTTGCAGATATGATGAATATAAAACGTCAGATTTGTTCACGCAACGTTCACTGCAAGGGATGGATGGATGGATGTTCCTGATGATTTTGATCCACTCGCATAATTTCCTTCTCGTTTCTAGCTTGATATCTTAAACTTCAATCTCTCTCTTCCCTTCCCCCCCCCACCCCAAATATACATCCTCCTCCCAAAAGCTTTGAAAAGACCCACATATCATTTCTTGTCAAATTCTTTGGACGGTTGAGAAGCGATATCTGGCGTCATGGCACCTTCTCAGGGAATGGAAAAGATGAAAGGGGGAGAATGTCTTGGCAGAGAAGTTTAAACAAGTGTAAAGTTGAAATTCGACATGTTAAGTCCATTCACTGTTTGCGCGCATGGGAAGCAAGAACCTACAATCTCCCGTGCTCAGCCAAGCAACATAATTATCTCCACGATCTGGACAGAAATGTCAACAAGGCAGGGGAAGGGATTAGAGCTTTTGTAGAGATAACTATGCTTGCAAACGGCAAATGAACTATATTTCTGTGAGACACGGCCATCAGCTGATGGGGTATACAATTTTTCAGACAATGCGAATTTTGCACAGTTATTAATAACATATTTACAAAGGAGACGATATATATATCTTATATATAAAATGTTGTGCGTCTGGGACGATAAGAAGTGGTTCGTCGTCATATTGCACCACGACCCTCTTAGGAGGATATGGTAACATAAACTGAAAGAAAGAAACGGAAATATCTCTATCCGTTGGGGGTGAGGGAAGAAAAAAATATATCTCCCCGGCGGGGAATTGAACCCCGGTCTCCCGCGTGACAGGCGGGGATACTCACCACTATACTACCGAGGATCTCTGACTTGATGGTATGAAAATCCCAGTATTCGGGGAGTACTCCTATAACTTGTCATACATGCAGCATTGAGGTTTTCGTTCGGTTAGACTAGGAGTGCCCAAAAGAGCACCCTGAGGGTCGCATGCATCACGCAAAGAGCCTCTGAACATCCACTTTGGGCACTCCTGTATTAAATATTCAAACAGCCCAAAGCCGATTTCGTGTTTTTTTTTATTAATATTTTTTAAAATCCAACATAGAGAAAACGACGAACGCAGAACTGCAGCACCGAATTACTATTCTACTACCTGCGAAAGATCTACCTCTAATCTCAATCAAACGCGCTCAAACGAAATTGTTCGTGAGGGTATTTTACTGAAAAGAGCCTCCCCGAACGGGAATCCTTAAGATAAATTCTTGAATTTCAATCGCATAGAGGATGGGTTCTAGTTGCGACAAAATGAGTTATCTTTCGCCTGTTTTCCCGACTACACGGTTTTTGAGGATAGTCATGACGAAATGAGGGTCTTGGCGATTCTTTAGCAGACTTTATGCAAAGTTCAACAATTTTTTGGAACAGATGGCTGTTTCCAATTTTCAATGGACAACTTGTCCACTTTTTTTTAAACCGTAGGATTATTAGATGACACTCTCAATATACCTTTCTTACCAGGCCCTCAATTCCTTTTTTTTCACAATCAATTCGGCGACAGATTTGCATTCTCAGTCATTGTTATCAAAATTTGAATTTTGATTATATTTTTGAATTAGAAAAAGCGCAATAGGGCGCAATTCTTTTGGACTTCTCTACCCTAAAGCTCTATCTTAGAACTTTTAAAAGTAAATATATAAGTACTTTGGAAGAAAGAAAAAACCTCCCCGGCGGGGAATTGAACCCCGGTCTCCCGCGTGACAGGCGGGGATACTCACCACTATACTACCGAGGACCACGGGAAAGCTCCCTGCCAATTCCACCTACTCGGCGAGAATCCAATCCCGTCTATCACTGTGTGAAGTTCTCAATACAGCTCTACCTACGCAGTTCTCGGTTATATAGTTTATGCAATATACGGTACTGCATGAGCCAGAGCAGCCGCTCTCCCGTGGGCGCACTGACCGTTACAGCTCCTTCCTTTTGTCATCGATTCGCCCACAACATGTTTAAGGGGCGCAAGAATGACTGAGGCATCAGTTCATCAGTAAGAAAGCAGATCAGTCGTATATTCAGATCCGTCTCCCTTCTGCACCTCCATTGAATCCGAGGAGAAATACAATCCGAATTTCTCACGTTGGAACGGCTGCGGTTCCCCTGCGAACCACACGCGACTCGCATCTGCTTCACGATTCTCACAGGAGGTTCACACCGTATACACGTTTGTTCTGAATTTTAACAAAGTAGTATTTTTTGTGCTGGTGAGGTTGCCATCTGCCTTCTTTTTTTACGATGGACTATCGATTGCAATTTCCCCTGGATAAGAGAAAGATGGCTGCTTACGAAAGTTGTGACCAAGTTTGACAACTTTGGAATATGGATGGTCTTACATTTTTTGCGAGCGACGTTTTTGTGCCAAATCTGTATGCTCGGGGATTAGCTTGAAGGAATCCGGTGGTTACTGGGAGAAAAGTATGGGATGACCCTTTGGAGTGAAACTTCCTAATGAAATTTCACTCATAATTTTTCACTCATAATCACTCAAACAAATTGTCTTAAATAAATAAGCAAATAAAATGCATAAATAAAAACTGGCTCCTGAAATGAAATCTTGGAGAAAAGTGGGAAGAAGAGAAAAACCTCCCCGGCGGGGAATTGAACCCCGGTCTCCCGCGTGACAGGCGGGGATACTCACCACTATACTACCGAGGACCTCATGGCTGCTAAAATAAGCCTCCAAGTACTTAGAGAAGATCTGGTCCCATCCCTCCAAATGGAAAGTTCTCCAAAAAAGAGACTTCAAACGAGGCTTTCAAGTCGATCCACCAGGAGGCGATGAAAAGAACGTCTTCGTGCACCGGCTGGAAACATTCGCGCTTGACCTGAAGAGCCACATGCAATTCTACAGGAATATATTCCGCGATAAAGGAAACTACTGGCTTCAACTAAGTTCTATTCTTTGTCGATAACTAATTCTCCTGTAAACGTTCTACTCCGTCCAAACTTCCAATTCATACGCCTGAGGGTAAACATCACCTGATGTAAAGGCATCTTGTGGTTATTCGAGGAACTATAGGTTTTTCTGCTAGTGTCAAGCTAATTTACTTTTTTTCCCCTCTCTCTTCCACTCTCAACGGTCATTCGAAGGTAATGCATTTCAATCTCAGGCAGTGACACCTGAAGCAAGTTTGTGGCAAGCGAATATTTCTGAGGAAAAATAAGTCTCCCCGGGGGGGAATTGAACCCCGGTCTCCCGCGGGACAGGCGAGGATACTCACCACTATACTACCGAGGATTATAGCTTAGACTCACTACTTGGGTAGAAACTATTTTCGTCCTACTCTGATAGAAATTCTTGTAATGGAGCATGTGCGAGTCCTCCCACGTCTGCACCTGACGCGCCAGAAGGCGATAAGACGGCCGCCTTCATGCCCCAACAGAAATGATCTATCCTGGATGCGACGCGCCGTGAGCTGTCGTGCCACCAGGAAAGCTGTTTGCGGGGATCTGATACCGCTGTTGTGGTGCTGGGTGCACCGATCGTGCTGTCCCCTGGGACAGCCATCGAGATTCCTTCTTTATGTTAGAAACTCAAAGGAACCCGAAGCCGACAGTCCTTTCCATCCGTCACTGAGATCAAACTGAAGCGAAACTTCAGCACCGACTTCCTGCAATGGATTCAATCCTATTGTTCAATACTATTATTTGTTGCTTCTTCTTCGTAACTTTGTCACTGTTTTTCTGTTCTGTGGTTCTTTATACCTTTAACTTGGTGCAATAACCATTATTAGTAATGCATGCAATCCTATAATCTCAGCCGAACATATTTGAAGTACAAAGCTGGAGAGTGAGCTATCATTTAGGGAATTTACGGAAAAAAAAAGCATCCACTGTCAAGTTTTCCCTCCACAACGTAAATACCGAATTAGAGGAAATCAAGATGAATTTCACCTTTTGCCACTCAGGAATTATTCAAGAAGAGACATCTCTCAATCTCCGGCAACAAGAGAAATGAAACACTGGCGATTTAAAAACTTTTCTCGCCGGCGGGGAATCGAACCCCGGTCTCCCGCGTGACAGGCGGAGATACTTACCACAATACCACCGAGAATTACGTTCAACTTGCACAATACAAACAGTGGGTCTCCTGCGATGTTTCCCTCCGGAAGTCCCTCAAACGAAACAGACGCATGGCATCACATTCCTATCAACCTAAACGGCCACGTCGCACGCCAGCCGACGACGACCTACCTGTCTTCGCGATGCGACACGACATAACGCCTCCGCCGGACTCAGCAAGTATGCACGGCCTGTCCCCGGTGTACATGAGTAAACACTTCGGCAGGAACTTCATTCGGTACTGAGGAATCCCATGAGTTGTCTCTGGCCCATAGGGAAAGTAGTGTGCCCCTCTTTTCCTAACCTTTGAGTAGCCGTACTTTTTCCCCCTTGAGCCCATACGAATCATTTGCGAATAGACCAGTTTTCTTTCCAGCCCTTCATTTAGATCACATGAAAAACAGTTTCCATTTGAGTGCAAGGACGGAACTTTTCGTCCCGCCTTCCCGAACAGCCGCTTGCAACGTTTCTTTTTTTCATGGTCATGTCTAGAAAATGAGGGCTGAAAGACGAAATTTTCAGAAATTTACACCAAGTCCTGCGACTTTGCCCAGCGGATGGCCTTCCTTATTTTTCTGTGAAATATGTCTTTTTTTTGCGAGTGGGAAATCCCTGTGTCCCGAGATGAGCTAATATTTTAACCCTTTGACCGGCAAGTTTCGCTGACGCCTGTTATACCGGAGCCCGTAAAATTTATGGGCATGCCGGTCAAAGGGTTAAGGCATCTGGTGATCAACCCTCCTTAGTGAATTAATTTTGGACCAAGGTCCCAAATTAACATCGAAGAACACCATGCCAGAACTCGCCGAGATGTGACGTTACATAGTTGCAAATTATATTGCATTGATAAGGGGGAGATTTTATCCTTCCCCTATGAAGTCATTCAGGCGAATATTTCTCAGGTCTCAGGAAATAAAATAGGAAATTAAAAGATTGTTAAAATACTGTATATACATACAGTATGTTAACAATCTTTTAAAGAGCAAAAGATAATAATTCTCCCCGGCGGGGAATCGAACCCCGGTCTCCCGCGTGACAGGCGGGGATACTCACCACTATACTACCGAGGACATGGCAGATCTACCTTCAGGACTTAGCACTTGGAGAGGATCGGGTCCCGTCCCTCACAGTGCGAAGTCCTCGGCAAAAGAACATTTACCTATCCTTCCAACGTGGATGAAGCTGACGCGCTAGCAGGCGACGAAAAGACTACCTCCAAGGTGTGCCTGCAGGAAACATCCGCGCTGAAAGTGAAACGCCATGCCCTGGAGTGACAGGCAGAAAGCTGCTGCAGGGCTGTGCGGTGCTGCGCTTCAAGTACGCATCGGTCGATGCCGTACCGTGACGACCTACAGTTTTCCCTTCCACAACGTAAATACCGAATTAGAGCAAATCATCAAGATGAATTTCATCTTGTGTCACTAGCTTTTCATCAAAATTCAGTTAATCGAGAGAGGTTTCTCTCAATCTCCGGCAACAAGAGAAAAAAAAATACTAGCGATTTAAAAGTTACTCTCCCCGGCGGGGAATCGAACCCCGGTCTCCCGCGTGACAGGCGGGGATACTCACCACTATACTACCGAGGACCACTTTGCAGCTATTCCTCACTAACAATCGATCTGCTGTGATGTTTCCTTCTGGAAGTCCCCCAAACGAAACAGATGCATGGCATCTCACTCGTATGAACCGAAATGGCCACGTCGCACGCCAGCCGACGACGACCTATCCGTCTTCACGTTGCCTGCGAAAGGTGTGAAACTGCTGAAACTGCGGCGAAGCTCTGTCGTGCCTGAATCGTCAGCGATCGACGGCTGGTGGACCAAATGAGGAAATGGTCAATCCGTAAAAAAAAATCTCTCCCTGAGACGGAAATTGTGAAAATTCCAGTGCTTCGTCCTCTTAAAAGTGAGGGAAAAGTAGTATGCATATCCCTTTAAACTCCACGCCCGAGTACGCTCGGGATGGCCTCCTAGGCAATATCATGCCATCCCCAGCATTTTTATTTCCCTGGGACAGCTCGGTATATGGTAAGTAGGACTGAGTGAGGCGATTTTCATGGCCAGATTAAAACAAAAGAAGCAAGGATTCGCGTAATTCGGTGCAGCTGTCAGGGCTCCCGAAAAATTAGGATGAGGGATTTTCTTGGTAAGGAAAAAGGTTTAATGGATCTAGCTATGCCTTTTCAGGCATCTTTTACAGATAAACACTTTTCCTTTCAGCGCTTCAATTAAGCAATTTTCAGATGTGTTAATGAGGGTTGTCAAAGTACTTCTCCGGCGATATTCTGTCCAAATGCCCCCTACCCCAAATAAAAAAAGTTATTGCACGGATGTTTTCTTTCTCTGTGAGCTTTATTACAACTGAGCTGGTTACAACTTTTTCACTCTTAAAAAAAAAGGAATTTACTTGATTTTGAAAATTATTTATTTCAAGTGGAAGACGTTCAATTTCTTAATTAAAAAGGTATGGGGAAAAGTGGTATGAAGTAAAAAGAAATCTCCCCGGCGGGGAATCGAACCCCGGTCTCCCGCGTGACAGGCGGGGATACTCACCACTATACTACCGAGGATCCCTACTCTTTAATCTCACAGCTCCCCAACTTCACCCCGTGGGGGGAGGATATGTTCCCACGTGAGTTATGCAAATAAAGATTTTAGGAGTTCCACGCAATCCGGAGGAATTTCTCGAATTTTCAACCATTTCTGTCAACGTCGATAGGGGGAACCTCACTTTCACAGTATGCAGTGTACCATAAAATCCTCATGAATAGTGGCGTTCCGAGGATTTCGCAGGGGGGGAGGGGAAGGGCTAGAGGGAGGGGGAAAAGGGAGGGGGGGATAGAATTTTCCTTGCTTCACGTCTAATGCAGTCAGAAATTATACTCCGCGGAGGGGGGGGGGCGGAATTAATTAGATTAGGCATGGTGAGATTAAAATCGAAGCTTAGAGGATATCTCCGCCCAGTAGCCATGCCACTACTCACAAAGACGCGGCTCCGAAGCCCTCCACCCCCCACCCCGGCACACAAGAAGACCACAGACCCTCTCGTCGCCTTGAGCCGCTCCTGCTCCTCCAGCAGCGCCTCCCTGAACCCCAGGAGGAGGGACGACCGCTTGTTGATTGCCGCCTCGCTGTGCCCGATCGTGAAGTCCCAGCCCGTGAAGAGCTTCCACGAGAACACCGCCTCCTCCCCTTTCTCCGACATCTTGCTCATCCGAGCGTTTGACGCCATCCTGGAGGACATTTAAATATTTTCAAAATCGCCTTCAAATTTGCCATGTCGCCCACATATTTTTTTCAGGATTTCAGATCTTTTCCCATGTGATGCCATGCAACCTACATTTCAGAAGAAAAGAATCCAGCGCGCGCATGACAAGTGACAGACGCAGTTTGATAATGACTTTCAATGATCCAAGAGCTCATACAAATTCCTTATACTTAAAAAAAAATGTTACATAAAATTAAAATAGAAGAAAGTGCGGATACCACACAAGAACTTGTTAGCTTCGTCTAACCCCCTCAATCTCAAAAGGGCCAGGTGCGACATATTTTTGTCAATGTAAATGCATTTATTATTAATTTATATATTTTAACTTATGACTAACCGATTTTTAATGGTTTCTTCATGCGACCACCGCAACTTATTCATTTATTCATTTAATGACAATTTATTTCATGCATGCCCGTGTCATTTCATTCTATACCACTTCATTGAAATTTTTTTATTGACTTTTTATTTTAATATACGTATTATGACTTTGTATTATATTGACTTTGTACACACAATATGTTTATACCTGTGATGCTAGTATTTATTTAAAATGTAATCTTTTGCGCTAATACGCGAGGCATCCCCTCGGCAAGACGGAGGACGCGGACGACCGACCTCCTCAGGATGGCGACGAAGCTGTAGACGTAGACGGCCATGCCGGCCATGAAGTAGGCGAAGGGGAGCTTGTAGCCCTCCTTCGTCTCCTCCACGTCGCTGTAGAACCCGTAGAAGATCGGGGAGTACCTGTGGCACGAGGGAGAGGGATTTTGATCATCCGCGTTGGATCTGGGATCGTGGAGATCGGCTGGGGCGTGCGCGGTCGCACCTGAGGATGCCCTCGAAGTTCCAGAGGGTGACGAGGTCGAAGGCGGATTTTTGCTCGGAGGGCAGCAGGGTCTTGCGGTTGGGGTCCGAGTTCCGTCCGGCGGTCAGGACCTGAGGGGGAGGAGGGGGGGGTCGGTCAGGACGCGAGGGGGAGGAGAGGGGTCGTTCTGGGGGTGTGTAAAGGGAGGGAGGGACGAGGGGGAGGGCTTTGTTTCTGGGTCGCCGGGTTTCTTTGAACTCGAGTGAAACTTGCCGGTAAAGGAAAAAGCATGGATAACAAAAAAGTAAATAAAATAAAAATAAAAATAGAAGGGATGGAATGGAATAGATAGGTTTGGTGTCTACTAAGACATCGGAGATAGGAGTTTATGGATATGGATGAGTCGGGTCATTATCGACCTTGAAAGGCTCTCCCCGGCACACGTGTCCCCTGTGCGTGATTTACGCGACCCGCGAGGAGGTCTCGCCCAGGTGTCCCCTTTCACCCCCTCCCGCCCCTGTCACAGGGGCGGGGGTGTCGGGAAGGGGGTAGGTAGGTAGGGGGGGGGCTTTCCGAGAACCGATTATCCTGGAATGTCGGTCGGATCTCTTTTTTGTTTCAAAGATAAGTCCAGGAAACTTCAAGCGCTTCCTTTTTGTTGGAGCGCGGGTGCTTCTATAAGGAAGCAAGTCGGCCGCGAATAAATCGAAAGCCTCACTCCTTAAATGGCCGAGATACTCTTCCCCTCTAAAAGGACATAAAAATTCCATTCCGTTTTTTCCCACCGGTAAGACTCCATCCGAGGCCATAAATCCATACCACCTCTAAATTCTCCCCGATCCCCTGCGATCCGACCCCACGCGACGTACCTCGGGCAGGATGAGGAAGGCGAGGAGGACGGCGGCGAGCACGATGTTGAGCCAGGTGAGCCAGCGGAGGAAGATGAAGTAGGAGGCGACGACGGTGCCGAACTGGGACTCGATCCGCTTGATCCGCGCCTCCCAGGGCTTCAGGGAGCCCAGAACGTTCCACACGAAGCGGCCTGCCTTCGCGGCGAGCTGTCGAGGGAAGGGTGACGCGGCGTCAGACGTTTCGCCTCTCTTCCTCGCGGTGCCGCGTCCAAAGGCGACGGGCGTCGGCGGTAGAACTGTATCTGCCGGGGCACTCGCGAGGCGAGCGAGCAGACACGCGTTCCGATCCCGTTCCTTCTCCCTTTTAATTGTGGTCTTACCGTCTGCAAAGGTAGCTCGCATTTGCCCGCAAATTGTCCTTGAGCGCCTCCAGGCCAAAATTGAGTTCTCTGGAAAAAGGGTGTATGTGTCCATACGGATGTATGGGCACATACGCCCTTTTTCCAGAGAACTCCTTTAATTTCATTAACACAAATTCCCGAGTACTGGCATGCCTGTGTCGTTTTTCATGATCACTCGTCCAGTTTCGAAGGTTTTCATAACGGCCATTCTTTGAAAGAGGAGCAACACGCACAACCCCCCTCCCCATCATACTTTCCCAACCAAGAAAGATCCACTCCCATGACAAATAATTACTTCTAATCTCACTTTTACCTTGCTGATGCATGTAAAAAAGTTTATTAGACGCACGCCAACCAAGTCTCCTTCCCGTTTACCCGAAAGAAGAGCAGCCTCCACCGCATGAGGACGTCCCAGGTGCGATTGGACGTGGCGAGCCTCTCCTCGATGGCCCCCTCGTGACGCCGGATGTAGTCCTTGGCCCTACGGACCAGCCGCACCTTCTTGCTCGCGCTGAGCGGCTGGTAGCGGACCTCCCTCAGGACTTCCCGGTGGAGCGCCAGGGTCTCCTCCTCGCTCGGGCCCGCCTCCGGCTCCAGCGACGCCCTCCTGCAACGGACGAGAGGTGTCACGGGGGGGGGGGAAGGGGGTCGCGCGAGGGACGAGAGGAGTCTCGGAACCGACGGGGAGCTGCCGGAGAAGACGGAGGACGGGAAGGGGGAGGACGGGCGCCGTTTCTCCCGCCTCTTCTTAGAGCTCCCGCTCATCCTCCTCCGCTGCGACCAGATCGCGGAGTAGTCCTCCTCCTCCTCCGCCTCCGTGTACTCTCCTCCCGTGTATCCTCCTGTCGTCCACAGAGGGGTATAAAAAGGCGAGACTCAAACGACTACGAGGCAGACGCGGCAACTCACCTGGAACGAGATGCGAGCCCCGGCGCCTCGGGGTCGACGGGTGTAGGGTCGCCTCAGACGACACGGACGTCGCATCGTCCAAGCGGCTCACATCCTCGAAGAACGACACGGAGTGGCACGGGCTTCGTGGCTCCTGCTCGGCAACGGAGAATCCATTTCATCCCTTCGAACCGGCACGGGGTGGGGCTTTCACTTCCCCCCGCAACTTCCTGAAATCTTGCGGAAAGCTTTCCTTTGGCCCCCCCCCCATCATTTCGCCCCCACTGCCCCCCTTCCACGCCCCCGTTTCTCCCCTCCCTCCTTCCGCACTCTAAGCACGACTCACTAATCACTGGGAATGACCTCATTATCCAAGGATATCAAATGCGTGCGGGATTGCTAGCATTGAGACGGAAAAAAAGCGCATGTCTTGAATATTCATAGAGGCTAAATTCTCTCGTGAATGTGGTCGTCGATATTCAGAACACGAGAGCAAATTAGATTAAAATCATAGTCCTCTTCAGCAACCACTGCTTTCAGGATCCATCACTTTTTTCCTTTACGATTCTGGAACAGTTCCGAATGAAAACTCCTGGAACACCCATTGTCCAGGATCTTCGGAATCTCCAGCATTTAACAAAACTTTCAAGGCTGATAATGGCGAAGATTTGAAGAATTCGAATCGATCCTACGTCGATGATCGAAGCGCCGTGGTTGTTTTGTTGACACATTCTACACATTTGAATCACCCCTGGAGTACTTTCTGGCATTAGTCGTACAATCACATATTATGTGTCTCCGAAGTCAAGTGTTTCCAAAAAGCATTTCAGCCCCCGACCCCACCCGAGAACAAATCGTGAATGAACAATTAAACAGGCAAACACGTTTCAATTAGCAAATGTATTTCTTCAGAGACTTGGTGGCTTGGAGTGACGCTGGCAAACTCGTAAAAAAAAAAAAAGCAGTTAAAGTTCACGTTTACTTGCATCTTTCCAGTTCGACACAAAATTCGGGAAGCGTCCACGGCCACAGCCGCCATAAGCATTTACGACTCTAACATCTAGATGTTCGAGAGAAAATTCCTGAAAAATCTGAAGGGCAGCTTTCATCGCAATAAGTGGATGGCAGAAAGAAATCGAATGAAGATGAAAGTTGGGTGAAACGGAACTAGAACAATGCATCAAGGTGTGGACGATCAATTTTCTGTTGAACTTATGCGAGAAACAATTATGGTGGTGTTGACTTATCGAAATTTTGCACGCGGTGGTAAAGCAAAGGTTAAGTTTTGCAGTGCGATTGCAATTGCAATTCCAATTTTGCGATTATACGAAATAAATTTAATTCGGAACTGCCTGAGTCCCAATCCTTCTGGAACTGTTTGGAAATT